AAATAACGGATGAGGCAGATCTTTTATCTAAAATATTTTGCGTAGATTTTAGTCATGCGTTCGTTTTAAATAAGTAGTTATTTATCGCTGTTTTTCCAACATTGGAAGTATTGAAGGTTAGAATTTTAGATTTTTGTTTCTATTGATTTCGCTCCGTACAAAACGCAGTGACCAACATGCAGTGACCTTTCATCGACAGTATTATTTCTAGGCAGCCACTTTCAGTAACCTAAACATGACAATATAGTGTATTCTCTTCTTATATGCTGAATATAATGCGCAATAGGATGATCGAGAAAAAAATGAAAGACTTCATGTTTAAAACGTTGAAATATTTTCATTGACCAAACAATAAAGAAGAGTTCATAAGTGGTGGTGAGTAAGATCGATTTTGCCTGTCAATTTTTCAGAATAATAGTTACTGCTTTATCAACAGTTTGAAGACAAATACCTTCTAAGTTATGTTTTATTTTTTCCTAAATGACGACGAAATTGGAATCGTTACCTCTGGAACTGTTTTTACTCAGTTTTCAATATTTAAACGCTTACGATCTATTCAAATCGTTTTTCAGTTTGAATTAGTACATCAATTCGATTATTCAATCAGTTTCTTACTATGCAATCGATTTATCAAACATTACAAAAACAACATATGATTATTACTGTGGAACGATTATTCCTAGTATTCGTAATGTATCATCTCTTACATTATCCAGTGAACCGCAAACGTGTCGTGAAACTGATGTATTTTTAACCAATGTGCATATTGAAAAATTCTCGCATTCTTGCGTTTCATTATCATTGATTGAATCAACAAAGTATGAATTGGATGCTATTCTCTCAAAATTAATAAACGTGCCAAATTTAAGCGGCAATGGTACCAATTTGATAGGACGCGCGTCATTATCTTACATACAATATTTCACACTAGATTGTGTTGTACTTTCAATCAGCGATTTAATTTTGATTTTCCGCGCATTACCAAAAACTTTTGTATCTGAATGCGATGAAAATACGTTCTTTCGTAGAATAAGAAAAGCAAGAAACATTGTTGTTTGTTGATGATTCTATATTAGTGTTAGTTCCAACTTTATCAATTCTCAAGATTCAATTCCTCTCTACCCCACAGCTAGAAACACTTAGATTATTATTTCAAAGTTTATCTAATTACGAAAGTTATCGTTGGAAATGAAAATTCGTGATCGGAACCCATCCACAGAAGGCTAGCAATGGAAAGAAATATTCACTCATTTCTCAAATCTAAAACAGTTAGACTTCTATATGGCTATTTCGGCAACTGATAATTTTGATTTCCAATCGTTCGTCATATCATTTAAAACTGATTTTTACTTGGAACATAAATTGTATTTTACATTTAATTATTCAGAAAAAGAAAACTTATTGCAAATGTACAAAATTCCACTAAAATACAAGTATCAGGAATTATTGAATTCAATTTCGATAAACACGACCATTAATATTAGTGTCCAACCTGTACAACTGTCAAACATTTATTGATTCTTCGTTCATCTCGTTATTTCGTTTGAGTACTTACAAAAACGTATGCAAATATAAAATCACTGACACTGAAGGTTACCGACGGTTCATTATTAACTTATTTAAATCAACTTATTGTTTTTCAAATTTAACACATTTAAAGATTTTGTGAACAATTATCAGCAGAACTCGTCTTTAGTGTATTTAAAATTCCTCAAATATTACGTCTTCAACTCCAACAAATTCAACTAACAGTAAATTAAATGAACTGCTTCACAATGAACGATTGTGTAACGAATATTTAAGGCATCGCTAATTCAAAAATCAAGTGGAAAAGCTTTTTGAATTTTCAGACACATATTCTGATTCGTCTGACGCTGTTGATCACGAATCTGATCTCATTTTTTCGATTTAACCGAGTTTTCATGCAGAAAACCTCAAAATATTGGTATCGTCTAAAACCTCGAAAAACCGATTTTTCAGAAAAATCCCGATTATCTTCTGATCTTTTCATTTTTCGATTTTACCGATGCGTTTTTCGGCTTCAGCATCGCGAAGCACATCTAGACACTTGTCATGCGATGACTTTTCTGCAAGTCTTAAACTCTTGTCGCTGATCAAACACTGATCACTCGGACCTTGAGGCACGCAATGCTATCTAGTTTTTTGTCATGAGAGCTAGAGACTTCTTTTACACGCCAGAAGATTCACCTTGCCTTGCTCCATAAAAGTATGCTTCGTTCTTTTCAAAACGTTTTTCCTTTTAGGAGAAATTAGGAAAAGACGGTTATGGGCTCATCATCCGAAAGATTTTTCGAAAAATCTTTCGGATGATGAGCCGATAACTCAGTGATGTTTCCACCTATAGAACTGCTATTATGCTTTTCTAGGTAAAAAGCAATGCTAAATACGTTAGAAATGCGTTGGAGAGGTTTGGAGTTTTCGAAGTAGGTTTTGCAAAAAGCAGAACTCTAAGAAACCTTCATGAGCCTTATGGAAATCTTTTTCGTCCCAAGCACATCGTCAAAGTCTGAGGAAAATGAGACATCTTTGAGCCTTCTAGCACATCTCTAGGCTGAGATAAGGCCATCATGAAGGGTCGTGGGATTCCGAAGGATTCTGAGAGATTTCCAGAGAGTCGCTTTTTCAACAAACCTCGTCATTACTCTGCAATCCTTCATGAGGTATTGCATGAGGTGATGCGTATCGAGTTTCGAGCAAAATGAGATCTTCCCGGGCTGTCCAGCATCTTTCTAGGCTGAGTTATTGGCAAATCTCTTAAAGGATTTCTAGTCAGCCGGATCTCTGAAAGTAAAATGGTCTTATCTCAGCCTAGAGATGTACTAAATGGCTCGAGGACGTCTCATTTTGCTCAGAATTTGATGCTCTGTTGATTCGATGTACTTGGAACAAAAAAGACTTCTATTTTTGAATTAGCAGCGTCTTATCTGGAACTGATCAGGAACCGCTCATTATTTTATTTTTAATATTTCTGCGCCTGAAAATTTGATTGTAGACGACCATATGTTGAAATTTTTAATCATTTCTAAGCATCGGTCCAAATAGCCTCACTCGGGCGTATTTATTCATTTTCTCTGCAAGTGTGGTGTTCTTAATAGAATGTTACGTATGAAGACATGCGCAACTAATGGGCTTTAAAATGATTTATAACGCATCTTTTCAAACTAAGGTTTTCATAGAGTTACTGGTCAAACATTATCTATGACTATTTGCTTCCCATATATGTAACCCTTATTGAGTATAATAAAATGCATATAACTTTGTCACCGTCCTGAAATGGTTTATACACAGAAAAATGCAGAATTGAAATGGCTACAATATGAGCTATAACACATTATTTTAAACGTATGTCTTCGCAGATATATTGTACAAATACTTGACAGGTATCTCGAGCTTTTTCCTATTGCGCCATATGAAAATGTTTATGGTTTCTTACAGGCAGAGATTAGGCATAGTTTGTGTATCCAGTAGGGCTTAGATTGTTAGAGCTTTATATGTATGGGAGTTTGACGAAGTTCTTGATACCGGTATGTAACGGTATGTTTCCTTATCATCTGTTTTGGTTTTTTTTTATTACTCTGTGAAATTTTCTGTCTTTATGGCACACTTCAGACTTGTATCTTTATCCAGATCTTCGTAGCACTTTTCAGTGGCCATCGATCTTTGTAATTAAAGCTTTTATTATCAAGAAAAGGCAAATTACAACAAGTCTTTCCGAGCTTTAAAAGGTAACAAGAACTACGCGAAACTCCTTTACACTTAAAAAAGCTGCAACGATCTAACGAGCGAACCTCTCGAGGTGATTAAAAGCTTTTTGACTCAGACTATTTTCACCATTTAGGGGATACTCAGCAGTGAAAAACCCCAAGTTGGTTTGGACCCATGCACCTTTTTGACGAAGATATGAGTTAATTAATGGAAATGCCATTAATAATAATTAATTAATATCTCACGACCATGATCAGCTAGGAGTCGGAAATTTTGACCACAGTTGAAGATAGATGTTGTCTACTCACTGCGACACTTTTAGGCTTAAAAACCAAAGCTTTTGCAAGATATGAATTGCAGAAGCAGAACTGCAGTAGCTCTGCGGCTCTTAGGGACCTATATCCAAATGCAATAAGCCTTTACTGAGTCGATAGAGGTATCTAAAAAGTGATAATAAGTTCTTAGGTTTTCAATGGTGAATTTTCACTAAAAACTGTCTAAATCGTAAAAAATTCATATCTTGCAAAAGCTTTGATTTTTAAGCCTAAAAGTGTCGCAGTGAGTAGACAACATCTATCTTCAACTGTGGTAAAAATTTCCGATTCCTAGCTGATCATGGTCATGAGATATTAATTAATTCTTATTAATGACATTTCCATTAATTAACTCATATCTTCGTCAAAAAGGCGCATGGGCCCAAACCAACTTGGGGTTTTTCACTGCTGACTATTCTCTACATGGTGAAAATAGCCTGAGTCAAAAAGCTTTTAATCACTTCGACAGGTTCCCTCGTAAGTCCTGCCAGATATATTTAGATGAGAGTTGATTTCCAGGATGATCCAGCCTGTCCTTTGTGAATTCTTAATATCTACCTTGATAACTCTCATTTATCCATATTTACATTTATTTATTTATGAATAGAAAGTGATCACTCTAGTGAACTCTATCATATGCTGTTTTCAGTCTTAATCTACTTCTGGATGTAACTATCGGTATCTTGAATCGGAATCAAGTCAAGGTCTAGTTCACGTAAACACAATTAATTACTGGTTAGTTTATTAATACAACAAAAAACAGATTAATGTATTCCCTAAACATTATACAAAGAAACGTATCCATACTATACCCAATATACGTTGGATACGAACTCAAAGATAAAGCTTTTATTTTCATTCTGCAATTAGAATAACAAAAACCATGGAAGCCACAAAAAGTCTAATATTTTGAAAATGTTTTGATACGGCATATAATGAAGTAGACGATCGATAACAAATTTAACTAGCAGTTGGTGGTGTCGCAAATTTTCCCGTAAATAATGTAATTCCGCGTTCATCTTCACGAATCATAAACAAAAATGGACGGTCACATTTAAACTCAATGATTTGCGATCTTACGACTGCGCAACATCGCATCATGACGACTGCTGTTGCAGCCGCTGCTTCACTACCCTCTTCGTTGACTTCAATGAAGGCTTTGTGAATTACTTTGCTTATATAGAGATTACCATCATTATTTTCTTTCGTGACAATTCCAGTAAAATCGGCTTTTTGCCCATTGAAGGCGTCCTCCATGCCCAACTGTTTCAATGCATCGTTAACAATAAACTTAAACTCCATTTTGAATTTTGGTAAAAATAGATTAACTTCCTGTCGAGTACGATTGCTCTTGTCGAATACGTTCTTCTGTGTATTTTCATCACTCAGTTTCTTTTCGACATCGCTTAATGACACACCTTCGGCTGGTAAGATAACAGTGAATACAAACTGATGCCCATTGCTCTCAGCATTTTTATATGGAATATGAATAACTTGCGCATTCAAATTTTTGTCATTTGTATACGAATATGTTTGTTTCTGATACATCATGTTCACTTTTCCAGCAGTTGATTTATCTTCGAGATAGAACGGTGTATCCTTTATTGTGTCATCCGGTTTAAACTGTTTCATCCACGTGCCTTTGAAATAAATACAGTTGACAAGGATCAAGCGTGTATCGCTGTTGACGTCGTTTTGTGACAGCAAATCTTTGATCAGCTTGTTTGTTTGATCTTCGACCCATTTATTAATATCTTTGACAACTAATGGACCATTGTTATTAAAATCGACCTCTTCAATTCCTGCAGAATAGGATTTTTCCAAAAGACTTTGGTATTCGACGTTGATTTTATAGTCTTTTTGTGCAAACAAACGATTGGCTAATTTTAGTTTGATGAAATTACCACTGTCTGCTGATAATATCACCTGCATTACGCCTTTACTGGCTTTGTTCAGTTCGTCAATTGATTTACTATTCAGTGCCTTTAACATTTGCTCTAATGTGCCATGCTTCGCACCGGCTGTACACATTGCCATAGCAAGGGCAATGCTTGCTGGCGACAGAAATATATTTGAGCTGCTGCTTTCACGAACAACATTGTACAAATTCAAACCAAACTGCTCGAAACCACCATCCTGAGTACTCGATGTATTCAATGCCATCGCTTTCTAATTTTTTTATGTGAAAGAAAAGACGACAGGAATGTGAGTATATATTATATGTAAGAATATAATTTTTTTTTTCTTTCTCTTCTTTTAGTTTCTCTCTTCTAGGTAAACTATTGTTGATAGTGTATAGGTCGACACTCTTTGCATCATTCGTCATAGGCATGACCACAAACACAAAACATTTTTTTTATTTTTCCTTTATTTTCTACGACAACTTTCCTTTCTTTTACTTCACCACGTTGCGAGCTGACTAGGAGTAGCATTTCTTTCCTTTTTTATCAAAATGTTGTCACATAACTCAAATATAATAGAAGCACATGGAAATTTGCAAATATCACTATTCAAAGTACGCAGTCTTCTATCGCTTGCGTTTCCAAATGCTTGTAAGTCTGACACCACTATTGCTTCATTTACTAAATTAGACGCTCAACGTGCATTTGTTAGAGTTCAAACTCGGCCCTTATCTCAATCATCGAGTCTTGGCTAACTTAAACCATCGATGATTGCAGAATAGCGCTCGCAAATTACCATGCACCACTTAGAAAAGATAGGAATCGACGGGGAGAAGGTTGCCTATTCTTTGCACGTCAAGATTTAGATATAAAGCGGCACCCAAATTTAGAAATCGACGATCTAGAATTAATAATATTCAGACTAACATCTGCTTTAAAGCATAAATATCTTTTCTTCTTGTGCTATCGGCCATCATAATGACTGGGATGATGTCCGGCTAAGCGCCTTATCTATGATTATAAAGCTGTCAATTGGGACGTTTTTCATAATAAACTCAACTTAATTCCCTTTAATCGCTTACTAAAAAATCATCCAAATGTACACGAACGCGCTACATGTTTGACCTCCATCCTCTTAGATTATTCAAGAGCCAACATTCAAAATAAATTAATCACACTTTCATGTAAGGATAAGGTATGGTTTAGCGAGTCAGTACAAAAACTCCTCAAAATACGAAATAATCTATACTGAGTTTACTCCAAAACTAGTTTAAATAGAGATGAAATATGCGCCGACCAAGCAAACTCACTATTTCAAGCTTCCTGCATCTCTGCTAAATCATCATACTTTAAGAAAATATCAGTAGCCTTTCTTTCTTTTCAGAAACTATGGTGTAATCTAATTAAACACGCTTTATGTCGCACCAAATCTAACATCATTCCAGCACTACTCGTACCAGCTGGTAACACCACAAATGCTGCCCAAGAGAAAGCTAATCTTTTTAACCGTTATTTTGCCTCTACTTGCACTATGTCAGTAACTAACTATAACAAACAACTTCCGCCATTTACCTATAAAACACAGTGCAGAATGCCAAAAATCATAGTATCATATCATGATGTTTATCAGATTTTAAAAAGCCTAAATCCGCACAAAGCAGTTTCAGATGAGTTAACTATAAAAACTGTAAAAGAATCCGCTCCCGTATTAGTTCCAGTTCTTGTTGATTTATATAACGAGAGCCTAATTTCCTCAACATTTCCAAATTGTTTCAAACTAGGACAGATTTGCCCTGTTCATAAAAAGAATAATAAACATTTATTAACACTTATAGGCCCATCACGCTCTTACCCATTTTAGGCAAAGTAATGGAGAGAGTCATCTTCAAATATCTATATTCTTATCTACTTAACAACAAACTAATCTCTATTAACCAGTCTGGCTTCGTTAAAAAGGACTCATGTGTTGACCAACTAATCACGCTCATTCACTACATTAACGAAGGTATAGAGAATAACAAATTTGTGAGAGCCGGATTTTTAGATTTTTCGCGTGCGTTTGATTCAGTTTGGCATAAAGGACTTCGGTATAAAGTAAGACAAAAAGGTGTATCAGAACTATCTATTTTCTTACTTGTTAACTTTTCAGTAACGATATAAACTTGAGATTTCTAAGTCGTGTATTAAAGCAAACTATGAACATGTAATGTGACAACTGTCTCGATTTGTTCTGTATTTTATTGAAATAAAAAAAATTTATATAAAAAAAAAGACTATGACGATTGTTGCTGAAAATATTTTTTCTTTCTTAAATATTATTTCTCCATAATAGTACTTACCTTGAAAGATAAAGTCTTTTCTTTCATTCTTTTACTTTATTCTTTTCAAACCATTATTCATTATATAATTTGATAACGCGCACAAAATAGTTTTTGTTGAGTGTTGACTGAGAGTGTTTGAATAATAACTTCTAAACTTCTCAATTGTGATAATGTTTCAAAGGGATAAGCTGTATAGTGAACAAATGTGACTAATAGTAAACTCAGTTATTTTATAAAATGGTTAAGTTCCGGCTTAATTTGACTGAGCTAAAGCAAAAACGCGGTGTTTTACACAATTGGAAAATCTTACTTCCTGAGTATTTCACGTTTCCTAACCAAGAGAATTGCGCAAAAAAATTTCAAAACACATCACTCGATAGAAAAGTTTACGGGCTATCCGTTGCTGATCAAACTTTCAGCTTTTGAGCATGTCTTTACCGCCAAAATCTTATTTTAGTTAGAGCGGAGAAATCGAGGTTTTTCCATTTTTTGGATCAGCTCTAACTAAAAGAAGTTTTTATACTTCAACGTTTGTAGTAAAAGCTCCACACTTGTTCTCGAACACGTAATCTTTCCAGATAACAGTTACTCTGTAAACAATTCCGTGGTAAGGCATATGTGGTGGATTAATTTATAAACTAATCCAAACACTATCATTTGCGGTTAATCGTGAATATTATTCACAATAGATGGCATCAAAAGCTTACGTCTGAATAAGCGGGAAGCGATATGTTTCATAATGAAATTAGCGCAAGACATTTTCAAGCGTCTTCGCAAGTGAAATTTTTCTACGGAAATTGTAAGGTGAGAAATTCACGCGTTGTCATTACACGATTCACGACTTCCACCCTTGATCACGTGCGAAAAATATGCCGCGAAAAATTTCCTTGAACACTTCACGCGTTGTCACAAGTGGAATATATTTCTCACGTGCGCTCACACACCTTTTTGCGACGTTCACATGCGACCACAGTTCATCTCACAATATTCACGAGTGTACACGCTGTTTTGTATACTAAAATTTCCCTATGGACAATCCTAGTCAAGTTTTTTTGTACTTGAAAATGACACATGCATCTACGAGACGAACACATGTATTTTTTAGCCGGTACTCAGAGCCGCAATTACTGCTGAGGGTGTGAATCCTTATCCGCAAAAAATTTTCGATAGCTTTCTGCCCTCAGAAATGAAGATATAACTTCGTCTTTTATGCTCGCACAGCGGAAAGCATTTTTCTCACGATACCAGAGATTTTAGCGAGAAAAATTTCCATCCACGATAGACCGACACCACCGGAGGAGCAAATTTTTTTCTTCGGACAGTTTTTCCTGCTTTGAACATCGGTTTGGAATATCACTCAAATATGAAAATTTTCTGATCGAACAGAATTTCCGATCCTGAAGTCAAACTCAGATCTGAGAGCTTTTGTTTTTCAAAGCAGACAGTAATTTGCTTCGTGCGCCTTTTAGAAAGTTTTAGATCTTGCAGTGAGAAACAATTATTTCCGTTTAAAAACAGAGAGAGAGCAGAGAGGGAAGTTCAGTGACGTCTGAAAGAGTACACCGATGCTATTATTTAACTAAAGCATCAGAGATGTGACTGATTCCCGCTCCAAGAAGAAAAACTCGGTAAATTCAACAAAAACTGGGATATAAAGAGATGGCTTTCTAAAACGGGTTCTGAGTTGTTGGGTTTATAGTGGGCCTCTAGTATGAAAGACTCTTCTGATGTTTCCATCCTGCGTTGTTTTTCACGATACAGTAGACTGCGACCTTCCTGATGGTCGATAGTAACACTGGTGTTGTCAATAGCTCCTTGGCGGCACCACCAACGTCATTTTTGATCATGCGGTATCAACAGCTCTAAGTTGACACCACCAAGCCAAAGTTTGGTAGTGCCAATAGCTTATATTGGTACCTCCAGCATCACTTTCTGACTGGCGGTGTCAATAGTTCCCTGCTGACGCCACTGGAAGTGCCGATAGACCTACCCATCAATAAAGAGGTCCACTTTTTCGAAGAGGAATGTAAAAAATATCAGAAAGCAAGAATACTTTCGAGTACACTCTAGTCTGCACTTTATTGTGCAACAATACTATGGTTCGCAGCAGAAAGAACAAATGTGACTTCGTCTTCATCATAGTTCCACCAAGGAAATTTTATCTCGAAAGGACGTGGTCTACTGTTCTGAATTTTGTGCTGTGAGCTCCTAGACGATCCAATATCGTGACTTGCCGTGGAGGATAGTCTTTTATTGTGTCTCAAAGCTCAATTAGAAATGTAGTCAGTACTGTGAAAGATAAAGAAAAGGCTGTACTTACTGTTTCGAAATTGTGATTCCTCACATTAATGAACGACTGCAGTCATTTTACGTGTATGATGATGCAAAATAAGTTGGTTTTCTCCAAGTAAAAAAATAACAGGGGAATTTTTTTAAGATTTTTTTGAGAGCTCTCACGCAATCCTTGGAAAGTAAATCTAAAGAAGGTTGATAACAGTTAATTCTCAGATGTTGGATCCAACTCAAGTATCTTTGGAATGCAACGAATCATAGACTAACAGTTCGCATCTGTCAGCCTTTGAAGAACTTTATCTGTTCGGGTTTTTTCGTTAGCGAAACTGCTGATGGCTCTTGTCAGTATGATGGAACTCAAAATTATTGTTTAGCAACGCGTTGGAGAAAACCAACTTATTTTGCATCATCATACACGTACAATGTGTTCGAAACTCACTGAAACCATTTTATTCAATGATTTAGAACCTTTTGAGCGCTTCCGATTGACCCCGTCGGATGAAATCTACTCGAAAACAAACACTCCCATGACATTACGACTGTAAAATCAACGTTTCTCCTTAACTATACAGTATTTAGTCCAATACACCATTCAATGCGTCTTCAGAAGTTCAACAAGATGTGTCTATAGGAAACTTAACGAAGCTTG